CAATGACCAAATCGGCTTCCGGCATCACTCAGCACCCGCACTGTTCCCACATGGATTTGGCTGAAGTCGCCTGAACATATTCATCAGTTTCCCGCACATATTTCCTGAAGGCAAATCTTGAACACACCTCAAAACAAAATTGTTCCAACCAACGCATCAAATCCAGCCAGAACAAATGGTGCATTGTGTTGGCGGTGAAATCCTGCACAGAGCGGCCTCATCTTGCATTTTGGGCTTCAGACATCTTTCAGGTGTCTCCTAGCAGCATCTAGCGGTGCGATCCGAACGGTCTGAGTTTTGGAAAGGCAGACAAAAAACAATCCCGGGCTGGTTCAGTTTCGCCGATAAAAACATTGGGAAAAAAGAAACAGTTTCTTATGGGTGTAAAACTTAGTGGCATCTAATTGATATACCATGATATAACATTAACTGGTTGGTGGTTGACCTACCCCTCTTAAAAATGAGTTCGTCAGTTGGGATGATTATTCCCAATATATGGACAGTCATAAAATTCATGTTCCAAACCACCAACCAGTTCTGATATGGGTGTGTTCAAAAGTGGTGGATTCACCCCAACTTACAGCAAGCTTCGGGGAAAATGAGCTTTGCATAGGATTTGGGGTGAGCTTTGCCTATTTTTGGAGAACACATGAGAAAACCACATCTCTACAATATGCATCAATATGTAGGGCCCCCAAATGACGAAATCGCAAAGTTGGGGGCCACATAACTCCAATTTCACTATGGTTTAGAACTACTTAGATGGGCCATGGAGTTATTTAACTAGTTAGTAAATGGATTATTTCATATTCTTTCATTGGGTTTTTTTTTGGGGGTAACAAAAACCCAGGTACTAACCAGGAATCGCGTTTATCCGATTTGGCCCATCTAAGTAGGTGCGGCCAACTTAACCATCACTGGGGACCCCATCCCCAAAGGTTCTGCTGGCAGCACCCATCCTCCACACCAAGCGCTAAACCCGAGCGGCGCTTCCTGTGCAGCAAAACATAGCAAAACGCCATCCAAGGAACCCTCTGATTTTGCTAAAAAAACATCATTGGAACATCATTTTTCCACTGTTTTAAACTATATCCCACTATATGGTGTTACTATAAATAATCAATGGGATAACTATATGCTTATCAAATACTACCCTCTGGTTATTTGTTACATAGAAAAATGGAAAAATCCACCATGCTATTAATAGGTAAACCATCTATTTCTATGGACCATGTTCCATGGCTATGTTAAATAACCAGAGGGTACATGTTTTGGCAGTTTTTGCTGATTGAGGATTCAAGTTGTTCTACAAGTTTTCAAGTGAAGCCCTGCAAGTTCTATAGATGTTACTGCTTCATCTCCCGCAAAGACCAATACTGATTGGTAAGTCATCAACCTGAACAAATATGCTCGTCATTGGGATCATCATCCCAGTCATACGGTTGAACAATGTTATTTGTATACAAAGTGGGGCCCCCTAGATAGCTAAGTTGGTTTATAACTCCAATAACTATGGTTTATGGTACCTATAACTATAGTTAATGGGGTTTATAAACCATCTTATAACTGGGGGGCCCCACCTTGTATGTATATAAAAAATAACATCTTTAAAGAGATACCGCCAAGCACCAGAACTTCGTTTAAACAGCTGTTTCACGTTGTTCTTCGAAGATTTTATTTGAGTGATTCCCACAATTTCCCACAGGAGTCGTACAGCGTATCCATAACAAGATGTTCTTCTTTCATATGAACAAATGTGAGAAACATACGCCTATCCCATCTCATAAAATCCTGCTTGAACATGTCCTCAAAAAAACTATGGGTCAGTTCATAATCCACATTAAAACTGGTTGGTGGTTTCAACCCTACCACTCTGAAAAAATATGAGTTCGTCAATGGGTTTCGGATGACATCCCATATATGAAATGGAAAATAAAAATCATGTTCCGAACTACCAACTAGAACACATCTCAAAATCAGCTATCATTCCTCCCGTTTTTTTTTCTAAGTCATCAACAGGGCGATTCGTAAAGGTTGAGCCTCGCTGGCGTCTGCGACAAACGTCTCGCCATGGCGAATGTCACGTGGAGCTTGAGCTGATGCCGCTGTGCTCCGCCCTGGAAATCGATATATGGCAGTGTGTCAAAACCTTGTACCCCTGGTGAACATCAAAATAGCTGGTACATGGATGTTCATCCCCCTAAAAATGGTATGTATAGGTATTGATCCATAGCCATATCAATGGTAAACCATACTTAGATGGGCCATGGAATTAGGGAAAACTAGTTCGTAAATGGCTTATGTCATTGGGTTTTTTTTGGGGGTAAGCAAACCCCAGTTACTAACTAGTTAACTAACTCCATGGCCCATCTAAGTACATGGGTGTCATTTGTTGAATGGATTCAATATCTATGGTTAATGGTGGTTATTGATTGTTGATGATTAATAATGTTCAATCATGCAAATCAATGGTACTATTAACCACCATTAACCATAGATATTTAACCATCAATTGATGTTAATAATGTTGATTGTTGATGGTGGTTATTGATTGTTGATGGTTATATAATTATGGAGGTTTCCTGAAATGGGGCTACCCCAATAGTTGGATGCTAGGGGAAAATTCGAACATCACTTGGATGATTTTTGGGGATAGCCCCATTTGAGGAAACCTAGACTCAACATGACATAAGAAGCAAAATCCATCAAAATCCTATAGTTTTTGGGCTGACAATTGAATTTATGGTGGAGATGAATCATGATGAATCTGTAGTTAGATGGGTGAAACTAAAGCAACAAACACAAGGGGGACTCATGGAAACAAACACTTACCCTCTGGTTATGACTAACATAGCCATGGTATAGATGACCCATAGAAATAGATGGTTTACCTATTAATAGCATGGTGATTTTCCATGATTTTCCATGGCGAACTGTTAAATAACCAGATGGTAACATTACTGAACCAACAGACGTTTCGGTTGCAAGACTCCAGCCATGAGTTTTTTTGTTGATTGAATGTGTCGATAGGAAGATTAGCCTCTGGAGTAATCAATCGTTGCAGTGGAAAAGTTCCCATAAATTATGTTCCAAGCTATAAAGCTCCATTTATTTATTTGATTCTTAAATTTATTTTAAATACGCATCCTGAATTATCCTATCTAAATACGAATAGTTTTAAAAGTTACCTATAACTCAGGGATTTTCCATTGCCACGTGTGGTTTCCAAAGGGTATATGGAAAAAATAGAGAACAACCAAGCTTGCGACACAAAATGCTGTGGGGCTTCAACCTAGTCAATACACATTGGTCCATAAATGCCATAAATGCCACAGTTTGAACAGAATACCATCTAGACTAACATAACTATGGAGAATCATCATTCCATGGCCAATCTTAGATACCCTGCAAACAAAAAAATAAAAATTCTTAGCTGGTTAGTAGATAAGCCCATTGATACCAAAAGACTCAAGGATTAAACTATCCATCTAAGATTGACCTGAAATTCTATTAGGTGAATCATCTATAAATGGGCCATTCTCCATGGAGTTTCTGGTCTGTTTACCAGCGGATAAATCTTGGAAGCCACCACCCGCCAGAAAATCTCGCCATTACATGTGCACTGTTCATTGCCTGAGGTCATCCTCATATTGATCTGGGTAAATTTCACTATCCCGAATTGTTGGGCCATAAAAGGGGATGATTTCCTATATCTCAACCATGATTCCAGTGTTCGGGAGAACAGTGAGGTCGTTATAATTTACCCAGGACCCAGATTAATGTATATAATTCCATAACATGCATCATTTCCTCATATTGATGTAAATTCCATAGTATGAGTCCGTTAATTTGATCCTATCAAAAAACGGTCGATTCAGACTCTACTTCGATGGGCCAAATCGGATAAACGCGATTCCTGGTTAGTAACTGGGGTTATAACCCCCTATATTCCAATGAAATAATCCATTTACTAACTAGTTAACTAACTCCATGGCCTAAGTAGACCCATCAAAAATTTAGGGCTTCTGATGGTTTCCCCAGCTACCGGAGCTTCTGATGGTTTTTTTTGGTGCCGATGCAACTCTGCATCGCGAAACAGCGGTCCAGCGTTCTTCACTGTCGCTGTTTTCAGCTCCAGCGGGTGCCTCTGGATGCAGATGACCTGGTCCTCGATAGCTTCACAGATTCTGTTGCTGCGCATTGAAATCCCATAATTTTAGCCTTGGTAAACAAACAACAAACTATAGATGTCCCACTGATATAGTTGATTTAGCATGATTTAGCTACTAACATGATAATTTTCCATTGCTATGTTTACCAGATGGTAGCTGATAATCCTACATAATTGTTGACTAAATCACATCCCCCGATCATATTAGATACAGTTCAGTACCACCAACAAATGGGCTCCTGGAATAAATAGATCCACTACTCAACCAATCTCAAAATCTTGGGCCATCCTTGGTCTGCCATCATCCACCATTTTGCTTTCAGGAAAGTCCACCAGTCTTCAGCCCTTGAGGGCACTGACTCGCACATTTCTCCTGGTAAGTTCTCCTCTGAGCAATTTGAGTTGCCGCTTTTGAAACGATTACTTGGAGGTTTCCTAAAGTCATTAGACCATAGGATCCATGGTGCTTCTAGAAATATGGTGTGCCATGGATCCCTTCAATATACCCCATTTATGTTAGCAGCCATATACCAGCACCATGGATCCATAGGGGTCATTAGACCATTTCAGTATCGAAACGAAACCCATGGTGACTAAGTCGGATCCCCCATTCTTGGACCTTCCAATTCAACATGATCAACACCAGACATTCATCCTCCAATGACCACAACATGTCATAATGTCCCTGCTTCCAACATCTCTTTTGCTGCCTCCAAAGCCCATTGCCAATCAGCCAGATTCCCTGCAAGAAATGACAAATTACTAGCTGGTGAATGTAGACATTCCTATGTATAGCAAAAAAAACTTGCGGATTAGAAACTCTACCCATCCAGAAACGGTCGACCTAGGCAACCGCATCCAACAGATCCCTTCCCTATGTACAAGGGCATCTTTGGCCCAACTTATTGCGCACTTGGTCCACCTGTGCGATTGACCATGGCACTTGCTGTGAGCAACATTCACAGGGATAGAGCCAATCATATACTAAACCTGGTTGGTGGTTTCAACCCCTCTGAAAAATATGACTTCGTCAGTTGGGATGATGAAATTCCGAATATATGGAAAAAACATATCCCAAACCACCAACCAGTAATCATGTGTTAATATTAATGCATTATGTTTTTTGTATACTCCGGTGATCAAACGTGGCAATGAAACATCGCCGAACTACATGGAGGTTTCTAGCTGGGGAAAAATATACGTATATGTATATATATATATATTAAATATACACGTGTATATATATATATATATATACATACGTGTATATATATATATATACTAGGTTAGGATGACTTAGGCCTCTGCGGACGAACCAGAAAATTGAATTTCCTAACTCATGTGAAAGTTGTTTTTTGGATCGAAAAAATGTATGTAAGTCCTAACTCAGGAAGGGTTTTAGTGCATTTTAAACAAAAAAAACGTGAAAATCAGTATTAAATTTTGTATGTTTTGAGCAGTGTCCCTCTGTGAGATAGGAGTTGCCAGGGTAACTCCTAACTCAAGTGGCTATCGCAGCACTGGAGCGTCCTGAGAATAGCTGAAAATGAGATATGAGTTAGGACATAGATGAGTAAAAATTGGTTGTTGAGTCCCATCTCATGTAGTTAACTGAGGCCTTTTGAGCACGCGACACGTCACATGAGTTGGGATTTAGATTTGGGTTGAATTCATGGTAATCCCATCTCATGTGTGTACGGCATGAGCCATTTGGCTGCTTTTGTATTTAGCTGACTCAAGTATTTTAACAAAACCTAAGGAAAACAGGAAAAGAGATGGTAGAAAGAGAAGAGGGAGATGAGTTAGGACTTTTGGGGTTCAAGACTCTCTGCAGCGCAACGTACAACCTCTGCCGTGCAAGTTGAACCCAGCGGGGCAGTGGCAACCAAAAAACACAGAGGGCGGAATGCGGGCTTCATGATTACGAAAAACCTAGTCAGATCGTCAAAACACAACAAACACAACAAAACATCTAAGAACTATTTTTGTTTGTTGTTGGCAAGCTTCAGTCCTTAGTTTGTCTATATGTTTGGTAGGGTTGCACAGTGCGGTGCCAGCCCCATAAGTCCTAACTCATGTCCTTTTTCTTTCTCTGCCCTGCCCCTTCCCCTTTTTGCATTCGTGCAATTGTTCAAGTAGGCTAGATGCAAAAGCAACCCAGCGGGGCAGAACAAAAACACCACAGAGAGTAGCATGGGGGCTTCATCACTAGACAAAACCGAGGCAAATCTGCTTTTTGTTTGTTTTTGGTAAGCTGCAGTCTTCAGTTTGTCTACATGTGCTGTAGGGTTGCACAATGTGCTGCAAACCTCAAAAGTCCTAACTCATGTCCTTTTTTTCTCTCTCTATCCTCCCCCTTCCCCTTTTCGGGGATTCGTGCAACTGTTCGAGTGGGCCAAATTAAATCCAAAAGCAACCCAGCGGGACAGAGGCAACCAACAAAAACACCACAGAGAGTGGCATGGGGGCTTCATGGTTAGGCAAAACCTTGACGAATCTGGTTCACAAAACATCTAAACCCCCTTTTTTGCTTGTTGTTAGCAAGCTTCAGTGCTCAGCTTGCTACACGTTTGGTAGGATTGTGCATTGTGCTGCAAAAAGCTTGGAGCCTGATGACTCATGAGTCCTAACTCATCGCCCTGTTACCTCTATATACCCTCTCTTTTTCCGTTTTCTTCGGGGTTCGTGCAAGTGTTTGAGGCAGTCAAATACAAAAGCAGCCCAGCGGGGGCAACCAAAAAACACAGAGGGCGGAATGCGGGCTTCATGATTACGAAAAACCTAGTCAAATCGTCAAAACACAACAAACACAACAAAACATCTAAGAACTATTTTCGTTTGTTGTTGGCAAGCTTCAGTCCTTAGTTTGTCTAGGTATTTGGTAGGGTTGCACAGTGTGCTGCCAGCCCCATAAGTCCTAACTCATGTCCTTTTTCTTTCTCTGCCCTGTCCCTTCCTTGTTTGGGAATTCGTGCAACTGTTCAAGTAGGCTAGATGCAAAAGCAACCCAGCGAGGCAGAGGCAACGCACAAAAACACAACAGAGAGTAGCATGGGGCTTCATCATTAGGCAAAACCGAGGCAAATCTGCTTTTTGTTGTTTTTGGTAAGCTGCAGTCTTCAGTTTGTCTACTTGTTTTGTAGGGTTGCACAATGTGCTGCAAACCTCAAAAGTCCTAACTCATGTCCTTTTTCTTTCTCTATCCTCCCCCTTCCCTTTTTCGGGGCTTCGTGCAACTGTTCAAGTAGGGTAGATGGAAAAGGAACCCAGCGGGGCAGAGGCAACGAACAAAAACACCACAGAGAGAAGCATGGGGGCTTCATCATTAGACAAAACAAAACCGAGGCAAATCTGCTTTTTGCCTGTTGTTGGTAAGCTGCAGTCCTCACTTTGTCTACATGTGCTGTAGAGTTGCACAATGTGCTGCAAACCTCAAAAGTCCTAACTCATGTCCTTTTTGTCTCTCTCTATCCCCCCCCTTCCCCTTTTCGGGGATTCGTGCAACTGTTCGAGTAGGCCAAATTAAATGCAAAAGCAACCCAGCGGGACAGAGGCAACCAACAAAAACACCACAGAGAGTGGCATGGGGGCTTCACCTGCTTCACAAAACATCTAGAAACTGTTCTTGCCCGCTGTTGGCAAGCTACAGCTACATGTTTGGTAAGATTGTACATTGTGCTGGAGAAAGCCTTGAGCCTCATGACTCATACGTCCTAATTCATCGCCCTGTTTCCTCTATACTCTGTCCTTTCCCATTTTCTTCGGGGTTCATGCGAGTGTTTGAGGCAGTCAAATACAAAAAGGAGACCAGCGGCAACCAAAAAAACACAGATAGCGGAATGCAGGCTTCATGATTAGGCAAAACCTACGCAAATCTGTTAAACAAAATGTCTAAGAATTTGGTGTTGGTGAGCTTCAGTCCTCAGTTTTGTCTACATGTTTGGTAGGCTTGTACATTGTGCTGCAGAGAGCCTTGAACCCCAAAAGTATCCAAAAGTCCTAACTCATGTGTTTTTTCTCTCTCTGCCCTTTCTCTTCTCTTTTTCGGGGCATCGTGCAACTGTTTGAGTAGGCTACATGGCAGAGGCAACCAACAAAAGCACCACAGAGCTTCATGATTAGGCAAAACCTGGGCGAATCTGCTTCACAAAACATCTAAAAACTGTTCGTGTCCATTGTTGGCAAGCTTCAGCCCTCAGTCTGATCTACATGTTTGGTAGGATTGTACATTGTGCTGCAAAAAACTTTGAGCCTCATAAGTCCTAACTCATCTTCCTTGTCCATCCATACCCTCTCTCCTTTCCCGCTTATTTCGGGTTAGTGCAAGTGTTTGAGGCAGTCAAATACAAAAGCAGCTCAGCGGGGTAGAGGCAACCAAAAACACACAGATAGAGCGGAATGCGGGTTTCATGATTAGGCAAAAGCTATTCAAATCTGCTCATTTTTGGCAAAGCCGACAAACTTGGTGGGATCATCTGACGGCAAAGAAAGAAGTGAGTGTCACCGCGTCGCATGAAATAGGAAACAGCCTGAGGAATTTCGAGAGTTTGTCCTAACTCATCTTTCCTTGCGCATCCTTGCGCAAAAAAAACCCTAGGCTTGTGCAATTAGAGGTAGGAACTAAGGAAGTTAAATTTCCATATCCTTTCCTAACTCATGTGGTCTGCTTTATCATTGCGTTCCCTGCTTTTCAAGTTCGCATGATGCGTGACTTGAAGCGCTTTGTGAATGTTAGTGAAAAACATGAGATAGGAACTAGAGACGTACGTGACTCCTATCACATCTCTGCTGGAAGCATTAAACAAATATAACTTGAGCCTCGGCAGCACAAGAGTTAGGAGCCCGCCCCAGGGAGGACCTGACTGTCTGGAACTGCTAAATCCTAACTCATCCAGACCTAGTATACATATATATATGTATACATATATATATATATACACATTTATATATATATACACACACATTTATACATATATATATATTGTATGAAGAAAATTCACTTGCCATGTTTGCTTTCAGAAGGGTGTGTGCACCGCAAACAGCTGAGGATCCGCCGTTTGCCAGTCCTGTATCTGAGACCACTTGATGGCAGTTCAATGCATTTCATGGCATGTTTACAGCAAACATTGCGATTTACCCATCATGGATATAGTGGGATGTATGGAGATATTAACCATCAAATTGGCATCCGATGCCGACAGTACGGGGGTTCCCTTACAACAAGCTCATCATGATCTTGGGGAATCAAAACTGGGTTTCCAACAAAAAAACTATAACATGTATAACTAGTATGTGGTTGGGAAACTCTTGGTAGCTCCAAATCGCTCCCCATTTCATAGGGAATATGAATACCCATAGCTCCGAATCGCTCCCTCCATTCACCACTGGATAGATAATGTATACATGGCTTTGTCTGAAAAGAGGCTAGCCCGAAATCTGTTGGTTCATCCATCATTTCCAATTGAAATAATTACCCTCTGGTAAACTAACATAGCTATTGAAAATGGCCATTTATAGTGGATTTAACCATTAAAAATGGTGGATCTTTCCATATAGCTATGTTAGTTTACCAGAGGGTATTTGCGGTATACCTCCATGTTCAGACAGAACCATATCAAAGAGTAAGGATTTAACCAGGAAATATGCTGTATCAATTATAATTGGTTTCCACAGAAAACACCGACTTGTTTACCCACATGTTTTTCAGCATTTACCTAAACTAATTCTATAGTTATCCGTTGAGCCATTAAACATACCTTTGTAATCCTTTATAATGCCAAGTGAGGATTAATAAACCCCTCCCGATTAATCAACCACCATTGCCCAAAAAAAAATATGTAATTTAAAAACAGGTGGTCCCCCCGGATTAATAAACCGGTGGGCCTACCCCCAATTAATCAACCACCACTTCGGAAATCAATTTTTTTATCCAACATTTTTTATTTCCAATTCTATTTATTTCCAATTGTTTTTTTTTACCTTTTTTTTTAATCATCATTGTTATACTTCAGGTTTAAGTTGATCATTGAACATTTCAAAAAACAACTATTCCCCAAATGATCGATTTCTAATTAAAATCTTTATAAAAAACATCAGTTTGGATAGCTCCCAAAGGGTACCCCCCATGAGCCCATGTCCCCCATTAATAATAACCATGGTTTGCCCCTGATTAATCAACCACCTTTCTGATCCATGAAATTTTAACAAATCCAATGGAATTCTATTAAGATCTAATTGACGTAAGCCATATCCAAAGTTTTATGGTTCAGAATTTTATGGTTCAGGGCCGTTTATTTACGGGTAGTCAAGAAAACTAGCTAGAAGGTACCTACCTACCTACCTGGTGGGGGGGGGTTATTAATCCGGTGTTGGCATTATACCTTTATCCAATCTCATCATGCTAGTTGGTTGTAAACGGTTTCGCGTTAACTAGGGGCTAGTTCATAATCCAATTAGAAAATCAAGTAGTATAATCCCTGTATTTCACAAGCCGTCAACCATGAGTTGTCAACTTATATAATGTTTGATGTTTGATGATTATAACCCTTAAACAATCCTACAATGTGAGCCCCCCAGTTATAAGTTAGTTGGTTAACAAAAGCCCCAGTAACTAGTTCGTTATAAGTACCATAAGTTATAGTAACTATAGTTATAAGTACCACAAACCATAGTTATTAGTTATTGGAGCTATAAACCAACTAACATCACTGGGGGGCCTCACATTGTATAAAAAAAAATGGTTAAGTCCCATCAACATCATCTGGCCAGGGCGGGCTGAAGTTCATGGCTTAGATTTGGCTCCCCGGGACAACAGCTTGTGTGGCAACCCACCCTAGGACCTGGACCTCGAAGTTCAGCTCCCTCCAGGGTTCAGCTATGAAACGTCAAGTGCATCCCAGATGCTGCAGGTTTTCATAGGGAAATTATGGTAAATTAGAATCGGTCCCATGATTTACCGTAGATGTCATGTTTCACCATGATTTACCATAAATCTTCACCATTTCACCATGTTTTCATCGGTAAATCATGGTGAAGAAAAAACATCGTTATCGATCATTGGGATCCGATTAATTAAGGTTAAATCATGGGTCATGATCACAATTCCCGCACTAAGATCAAAAATAAGATAAATAAGCCTATATTGCCTATATGTATATATATATATATATATTGGGATAGTTTATGAAAATTGGAATAGTGAACTATCCATCATTCCAGGCTGGAGAACGACGCGAGGTCATTTACCCTAAAGAACTGGACCATGTTTGGTGTAAAAGTTGGTACTTTTGGGGGGCACCATGGAGCATTTGGGCTTCTTTTGTTGGTGGACATGGTACCATCTGGTTATGACATTCACACTTCGCCATGGAAAGATCCACCATGCTATTCATAGGTAAAGCATCTATTTCTATGGGCCATCGAAAAACCATAAACCATGGCTATGTTAAATAACCAGAGGGTATATGGTATCTGACCCGATGTGATCATGGTAATCACTGTTTTTGGTCAACAACTAACACTGAAACAAAAATGCTGCGAAGTTGAAATGTAACATGGTAATCATAGGATTGCCATATAGGATTCGTGGATCTGTTGATCTTTTCAATGATGATTTTCTCTGGGTCATATTTATAAGTCAAGTCCTTCAAGTCCCGAGAAATTCTCTAGAGACCACTGCCGAATCCGTGATCTATTCAGATTTGGGCTCCAAAACATTGCCTATGGATCCATGGCCACTGTCTGAGAAGGTACGACTAACCCTCCAAATTATAGTAAATTTTCCTAAGAAGGTACTTGGATCCATAGGGATTGATTTTTGATATTTGCAGGAGTTCGAACATATTGGAAGGCTTGCTGCGCGCAACAACTCTGAGTAGACCCCAAAAACCCAATCCTTGATAGGCCTTAACCCCAAAAACCTGACCCTAATTTGGGTGTAAAGAAACCGCAAAACGACACCTCAAAACAATATAATCTAAAACTTCAAAGGCTTGAAACCAAAATCGCTGCGATTTAAGCCAGTGCCTTTGCAATTTCTTGGAAACCGGCAAAGGCCCAAAACATACCGATAGACTGGTAGAGACTAAATCATGGAAAATAACATTGATAATCATGATTTACAGAAAGTAATTAAACCATCATAGTTAAATTTTGAAAATCATCAACCATGCAACACACTTTGATCTATCAATTGTGGTTAACATGGTTAACTATGACGGTTAACCTATGTGGTTACCCTCTGGTAAACATACTAACATAACTATTGATCATTGCCATAGAAATAGCTGATTTACCAATTAAAAATGGTGATTTTCAATAGCTATGTTTAATTACCAGAGGGTAATCCTTTTGATATATTATATCAAGAGGAATATCTACCTACGTTCACCCCGAGAGGTCCCTGTCCTTATAAATGGGGCAATACCCGGGCGCCATGACGGCCACTTCAAAAAACACAGGAAATTATATACGCACATATAAGACATATATCATTTATATGAAATTATATGATATATATAATATATGATATATATAATATAGGAGATATATATATATAATATGATATATATATATATGTAATATAATATAATAATGATAATAATATTAATTAATAATCAAAACTTTATTATTAAACTAATAGTAAAAATGTTTTTCTGAAAAGAATCGATGAACAATCGATGGGTCCCCTTTTTTGGACAGACAGAAATGAGTGTTTTCCACAATTGGGGTATCGCAAAACAAACTACTGGTCCTTATTAAACACCACCATGTCTAGATTAGTTTGTCGTCCCCCATTTCGGCTGTGTGAAAATGGGGTACCACATACCATAGTTAAAACGACGATCGTAAAAAAAAAACAAAAAAAACATGTTTTGGTTCATCATTTCCGTCATTTTATATCATGCTAATCTCTTCTCACTATTATTAAAACTCCCCCAATTATATAATAAAAATAGGAATGGATTGGCAATTTTGTTTTCTTTTGGTGGGCTACAATTTTGTCCTTAATTGTGGTAATTGAAAATCAATAGGAGATCAGGATGGTGAAACAATGGGTTCAACCCCCCTATCAATAAAAATAGATTGCGACCGACCTGGAGTTTTTTTATTAGGATCCCAACTCACAAGTTTTATGTTAATTTTTATTATTGAGGTTTTCATTGGAATATTAGGGGAACGCATCAAAATCCAGCTTTTGGCAATATTCCATATAGAATTCAATAAGGGATTTAAGCAAATTGGACATCAAGTTTTTTTTGTTTTTGTTATTATATAAGGTTTTCATTGGAATATTAGGGAAAAGCTTCGAAATCCAGTTTTGGGCATGTTCTCTAGATTTAAAAAAGAAATTTATCGTGCGTTTTATTAGTGTTTTCATTGGAATATTAGAGGCACCCTAATACAAAATACCCCCTAAAAATAAAATAGATCACCGTGTTTACCATTTGGAGGCGTGGTGTTTTAGCATTAGGGAGCAGAAATTATATCATGTTATCATCATTGTCATCTGATCTTTGAACAACTGGTTGGTGGTTGACCTACCCCCGTGAAAAATATTAGTCAGTTGGGATTATTATGTCCGATGGAAAAATAACACATGTTCCAAACCACCAATCACTAATTGTGACCTGAACCGCCCCTTGAAAGCGCCTCGCAAGTCTGCTCCTGATGATCTTCCGCTGATTCGGCTCCAGATTCAGCACGAGATTCAGTTCGTTCTGATCACGGCGTTGTGCTCAGCAAAATTGTTTAAACGTTTTGGAACATTTACTATTTCCAACTATCATAGGTCCTGAACTCCTGAACGTGGTTTAGTTTCATCCCTCTATATCTCTGGCACGGTTGTCATGTCCGTTGCAGGGATGGTATTCGCAAACTTGTTGGCACAAATTTGTCTTGAAAATGGGTACAATGTGAGGCCCCCCAGTGATGTTAGTTGGTTTATAAGCCCCAGTAACTATAGTTATACGTACCATAAACCATAGTTATTGGAGTTATGTTCACCAACTTAGATATCTTGGGGGCCTCACATTGTAGGCAAACATATGAAAACCCCGCTTTCTCATGGCAATCTCAATCCGGAAGAGGATGATAATTGCCATGGTAAACCAGTTGACTAAAGCATTGCCCATCTACCGCAAATACACTGCAAAAACGGTTGCTTTCGAGCTGGTGAGATGAACATTCCTAGGATGTCGTCTTCACATATGTTTGATTAAAAAGGGGATGAAAATACGAACACCAGCAAAATCAGCATCAAATCACATCAAGCGATAAAATAAAACTCATTCTGGACAAATCATGACAAATATCACTAACCTGCAAAGTTCGGCTCTTGTGAGATAGTTCCCCCTACTAAATGCTACCATCATTCCAGGGACGTAGCAACGTGATGAAACATGCCAAACCTCAAATCTCTGAGATGCTTCATCTTTGGTGACACAACCCATCAATGATATGGGGAAACGATCATCTGGTTGGTGGTTTGGAGCATTTATTCCCTATGGATCCAAGTACCTTCGTAGGAAGTGTTTGGGGGGTTTGGGGTATGATTTGGGGGGTTAAGTATCTTCTCAGGAAGTGTTTGGATCCATAGGGATTGGTAATAATCATCCCAACTGACTTTCATATTTTTCAGAGGGGTAGGGCTCAACCACCAACCAGGAGAAAAACACAAAGAACAAATTCACCGAGTGCGACAAAAAAAAATCAAACAGCGATCGAAACTGGAGGCCCACCTTGCAAAAAACCCATCATGTTTCATGATTTTTTGTTGACCCTGGCCCGGGTTCGGTCTAGAGTCCCCAATATATTGATTAGTATAATCCCCTAAAATCAACCACCTAGAGCCATCACGTATGAATCATCCCCATGTTTTCCTGATTAAAACCCTAGAAGGGATAGTGATTTTCCTAAGAAATAACTCATCATCAACCAAATGAGCCATGAAACATACCCCTATCCCACCTCACAAAATACTAGTTTGTTGATAGGTTTCATGCTATGGGTTAGTTCATCACCACCATTAAACCAGATAGTATCATCCTTTATAACAACCATCAACCATGAATCATCAACTATAAAATCCTATTAATGATGGTTAAACGGTTAAATTCCATCAACAGGGCTATACGTTTCATGGCTCAACTGGGCTGTCTCGCAGCCTGCTGGCTCATTGGCCCATGATCTGCTGGCCTGCGTCCAATCTCACGGCCATGACTTCAGAGGCTTGCCTGATCCAACGCTTCAAAAGACATTATTTTGCCCCCCCAAAAAAAAACAAATCACGGGGCAAAGAACATCTAGTTGGTGGGGGCTACCTACCCCTCTGAAAAATATGAAAGTCAGTTGGGGTTATTATTCCCAATATATGGGAAAAATCCAAAAACCACCAACCAGAAATAGTTTCTAGGGATGTCATAGGATGGATCAGCAACATGACTTGCTTTCTTCGAGTGATCTTCACGCTGAAACACATAGTTTCCGACATAGTTTCTGACATACCATCTGGAAGTATATATGGCACTTTTTCTGACATTCTATCTGACATTCTATCTGGCATCTATCCTGGCAATCATTCTGGCATCTATTCTGACAGTCTATCTGGCATTCTGTCTGGCATTTTGCAATTTCCCATTGATTTTTGCGGTTTGGCCACAACCTTCAAGGTTCCCTCAAGGCAGAAATCCAGATTTGCGCTTTTTGTGCGGGGTTGTGCGCCGTGTTTGCGGGGTTTTGCGCCTTGTTTGCGTGCATGTGTCGGTCCTGAAAGTATCAGTTTGCTATGGGGAAACTGTGGAGGGAGAAGAGCTCAAGCAAATTCGCTCTAAAATTCCTGAAGTTCAGTGCAGCTGCAGCTGAGCAAAGAGTCGCACTTCCACTAAGAAACTGGGTGGAGGGATGGCACCTCAACTAGCGGTGACAAAATCACGGGATCGTTTTTGAGTCACCACACCCAGATGGGGCACTGAAACCCCTTATTTGGTGGACGTTCCCATGGGAAATATGATTCACAAACACTGTGGGCATGATTGTGCCACTTTACACCACTTCTGCCCCTTCTGCCCTTTCTGCCTTGTTTGGCAGTTTTTGGGTCGTTTTGCCGAAAAGAGGGTCACAAAGCAAAAAGTCTTAAATATTTGGGAATGTGGAAGGTCCAGGTATAAATAAATATATATATATATAATAACCATGAAAAATAACCATGTTTGTTAGCTAAATCATCATTTCTGTTGGTTAAACCACAATTCTTGTTGCTTAAATTGACGCAAACATGTTGTTTTTTTCAGCTAAACTCCGCAACCGGTGAGTTGACCATGGTTAGAGTTCCTCCACGAAAATCCTACAATGTGAGGCCCCCCAGTTATAAGTTGGTTTTTAAGCCCCAGTAACTATAGTTATAAGTACCATAAACCATAGTTATTGGAGTTATAAACCAACTTAGATATCTTGGGGGCCTCACATTGTATGATTTAAAAAAAGGTGGGTAAGGGGAAATCCCCCACAAATATCTGAAATATCTGAAATCCAATACTGGTTGGTGGTTGACCTACTTGGTTAATGGTGATTAATGGTGGTTAATGGTGATTAATGATGGTTAATGATGGTAAATGATGATGAATTATCTGGTTGGTGGGGGCTACCTACCCCTCTGAAAAATGATGGAGTTCGTCAATGGGTTTCGGATGACAACCCATATATCTATTATGGAAAATAATCCATTCATGTTCCAAACCACCAACCAGAATATGTTTCACAAAGCTGAAAAGTTCGGTCAGGGATAGTTGCTCCAATCCAATTCCCATCATATCCCGATGTCGCCCATTCGTGGTGGTATCCTAGAGGCCATGGGGTCAAAAAATGGTAAAAGGTGAGGACCCCCCGGTGATGTTTGTTGGTTTATAAACTCCATGAATCCTATAGTTGTTATATCAGTTACATCCCCCGGAAGCAGTAAATTTAGAAAGTGAGAAGATGTGAGAAGTGCGTCAACTTGAACCCAAACCCGTATACCCAGATATTTTTTCTCCCAAAAAACAGCTCTTGTTCATTCTTGTTCCCTCCAACAAAGAACGCGGCAAATGAAACATGAGTTTAACTATATATATATATTGAATTAATCAGTTAACCATGTCTTTAAACACATTCACCTTATGAATACACCATAAATCCACTATAAATATCCATGTTGGTTGCCCAAAAAACCGCCCCGTGAGTTATCTCCATGTTTTTTTCGCCTCCCGCGCTTCAGCTCTTGGGTCTCAAGCTCCTTCAGCTGGGCAAACTGTTTCAAGAGGTTCAAACCTGAGCTTTCAGAAGCCAGTAAAGCCAGGCCACGAGGTCATATTACAATGTGAGGCCCCCGTTTGATATCTAAGTTAGTTTATAACTCCAATAACTATGGTTTATAAACCAACTTATAACTGGGAGGCCTCACATTGTACTATATTATATTATATTATATCATATTATATTATATTATATTATATTAATTTATATTATATTAAATATACGGTGTGTATATATATATATGTATATATATACGACCGATATCGACCGATGGGATAAGTATAACATAGTCAAACTAACAATGGGGTATAGTATGATATAAAATGGTGTCATTCATATTTGTTGCCGATACTGGGATATTCATGGGGATATCATGGGATAAATATAACTAACAATATGATCTTTGGGGTGTGTCTGATAATGGGGTATACAGTAATTACTTGCCAAATATATGAAAAAAATGCGTCCCACTCTTTGTTGCTTGCGCTTCAATGTTGTACAGGAAGGGACCCTCTAACGACAGGTCAGGTGGTTTACCAATAGTACAATCTGGCCCCCACCGTGGCCACGAAATTGCTAAGTTGGGGTTCACATCAACTCCAATTGCCAATCACTATATGGTTTATGGTACGCAAATAACTATAGTATACTCTACCATGTGGGGCCCCCAAACGATAGCTAAGTTGGTTGATAACCCCAATGTCACTTTGGTTTATGGTATTCACAAGTATAGTATGTAGAGGAAATTCATGGGGGTGAATCTAAACCATCAAACATAACTGGGGGGTAGTGTTCATAGGGTGAATCTACCCTCTGGTGATTTAACATAGCTATTGAACATGACCATTTATAGTGGATTTACCCATTGAAAATGGTGATTTCCCATAGTTATGTTAGTTTACCAGAGGGTATATAAACCAACATCCACATTTCACTGCGCCCACAGGTAGAAACTCGACGTGACACCGGTGACAGAAAGGGACCTTCTTGCGCGGCTGCTTGGCGGGTCACCCTTTGAACCTCTGCCGCCTGCACTGTGGATTTAAGCATGAGAGATGGGGATGTTTTTAGGTTTTGAGCATATATGGGATATATATATATATATGGTTTTATATGGTTTTATATGGTTTTATATGGTTTTATATGGTTTTATATGGTTTTATATGGTTTAATATGGATAATAATGGGATAATGATGGGATAATGATGGGATACCAATACTGGTTGGTGGGGGCTACCAAAACCCCTCTGACAAATGATGGAGTGAGTTCGTCAGTTGGGATGATGACAACATTCCCAACTGAATGGGAAAGTCATAATCCATTCCATGGTTCCAGTCACCACCAATCAGATAAAAACGAAAGGATTTTGTTCACATGTTTTAGCAACACATGCTGGGGGGATCATCATCCCCGTCTGGCCCTGCCAAACGTCAGCCAGATACCCTGCAAAAAATGACCAACTCTTGGCTAGTGACTAGGTAGATATTCCGAAAATTATACCAAAAGATTATTCAGGATTAGAAACTCTACCCAGTTGGCTGACGTAGAACATGATTTTTTGGGAACATCGACCAGCATTGACAAAACGATGATTTTCGCGGTTCCCGAGCCGGGCACCGGACCGATCCCAGCCTCATGGGTCTGAATCAATGGCTGCATAATGTCATTCACCTCTTTCCAATCAGCTGCCCATTCCTGGTCTTTCAGGCAGGTCGATGTTATTGTTGTTTTTTTTGCTACATGTTTGGAGCCACAACTTAGAAATGCCATCAGATTTTGTACTCAACCATATTCATCCATGACTTCGGTCCAAGATTTTTGCAAAAACTACCCTTTGTTAAACTAAAATAACTATGGAAAATCACAATGTTAATAGCAAGATCAACTATAAACGGACAATGTTCAATAGTTTTCAAATTACCAATTTGGGTCTCTATAACATAGACCCGGGCAAGCCGGCGGCGGAAGTTTCCCAAACATAAATGACCTATAGTTCAAAGACAACCTGTCCCGACCGTGTCCTTCCCTCGACACTCCACACCTCACACTGCACACTGCGCTCTTCGCACTCCAAACTTCAAACTTCACACTCCACACTTCACACTCCACACTTCTCACTTCTCACTGCTTCCTTCACACTCCAAACCTCACACTTCACACTTCACACTGCACACTTCACACTTCAGTCCACACTTCACACTTCACACTTCACAGTCCACACTTCACACTTCACACTTCACAGTCCACACTTCTCACTTCGCACTTCACTTCACACTTCACACTCCACATTTCACACTTCTCACTTCTCACTGCTTCCTTCACACTCCAAACTTCACACTTCACACTTCACACTTCTCACTTCGCACTTCACACTCCACACTTCACAATCACACACTTCACACTTCTCACTTCACACACTTCACACTTCACTTCTCACTGCTTCCTTCACACTCCAAACTTCACACTTCTTCACTTCGCACTTCACACTCCACACTTCACAGTCCACACTTCACACTGCTTCCTTCACACTTCACACTTCACACTTCACAGCGCTCTTCGCACTCCAAACTGAAAGTTCACACTCCACACTTCACACTTCACAGTCCACACTTCACACTTCTCACTGCTTCCTTCACACTCCAAACCTCACACTTCACACTTCACACTGCGCTCTTCGCACTCCAAACTGAAACTTCACACTCCACACTTCACACTTCACTTCCCACTGCTTCCTTCACACTTCACACTTCACACTGCACTCTTCACGCCCCACACTTCACACTGCTCTAAACGTACGTCCAACAAAAAAACCACTAGTGCCAAAATGGAGAAAATCTGCTAACAAACCCATTTCGCAGCCTTCATGCAGCCACTCCAAGACGATTTCCGAGATCCAGCTGCAAAAGACATTAGTATTACGAATGCAGCCACAGCACGAAGCAACCTTGACGCAGCCATTACAATGCGATCTGCAGAGACTGAGTTGCAAAGCACAATAGAACTACGCGCAACGGCGTCGGAAATTGTAGCTCCAAAACCGGATCTCGACGCCAGAGCGAAAAAAAGACGATTTTGAAGCACTTTTTAAAAGGATTTTTAGAAGGAAAATCACTAGCGCCAAAATGGAGAAAATCTGCTAACAAATCCATGTCGCAGCCTTCATGCAGCCACTCCAATACGATTTACGAGATCCAGCTGCAAAAGACAATAGTATTACCAATGCAGCCACAGCACGAAGCAACCTTGACGCAGCCATTTACACTGCAGGAACGATCCTACAATTGCAAAGCACAATGGAATTCCATCGGCAACTCATCCACCAGCACCACTTGCAATCCCATTTACATTGCGGGAACGATCCGAGAGTTGCAAATCAGAATGGAATTCCATCGGCAACTCATCCACCAGCACCACTTGCAACCCCATTTACAATGCGGGAACGATCCTACAGTTGCAAATCACAATGGAATTCCATCTGCAACTCATCCACCAGCACCACTTGCAATCCCATTTACAGTGAGGGAACGATCCTAGAGTTGCAAATCACAATGGAATTCCATCAGCAACTCATCCACCAGCACCACTTGCAATCCCATCTACATTGCGGGAACGATCCTACAGTTGCAAATCACAATGGAATTCTGTCGACCACAAATGCACGAAACACAGGTGACACCCCATTTACAATGCGGAACCGATCCGAGAATGATCCGAGCATATCCGACCATGATCCGACCACACACGAGACCGTCTCGCACCCGTCGCACCGCAGAGGTAGATCATCGAGGTTCGGGGACGGACTTTGTATGGAAAAACATAGGGTTTCGTGCATCTGCTATCTCTCAAAAACGCATTTCGTGCGAGACTTCCTTCAAAACTCCATCGGCAACTCCTCCACCAGCACCACTTGCAATCCCATTTACAGTGAGGGAACAATTTCTTTGCTAACTCTTTCTGTGACTAACTCTTTCCCTCACTAACTCTTTCTTTGACTAACTCTTTCCCTGACTAACTCTTTCTTTGCTAACTCTTTCTTTGACTACCTCATATATCCTGACTAACTCTTTCTTTGGCACTAACTCTTTCTTTGACTACTCTATTCCTGACTAACTCTTTCTTTGACTAACTCTTTCCCTGACTAACTGTTTCTTTGACTAACTCTTTCTTTGACTAACTCTTTCCCTGACGAACTCTTTCTTTGCTAACTCTTTCTGTGACTAACTCTTTCCCTCACTAACTCTTTCTTTGACTAACTCTTTCCCTTACTAACTGTTTCTTTGCTAACTCTTTCTTTGACTAACTCTTTCCCGCACTAACTCTTTCTTTGACTAACTCTTCTTTGACTAACTCTTTCTTTGACTAACTCTTTCCCTGACGAACTCTTTCTTTGCTACCTCTTTCTTTGACTAACTCTTTCCCTGACGAACTCTTTCTTTGCTACTTCTTTCTTTGACTAACTCTTTCCCTACTCTTTCTTTGACTAACTCTTCTTTGACTAACTCTTTCTTTGACTAACTCTTTCCCTGACGAACTCTTTCTTTGCTACCTCTTTCTTTGACTAACTCTTTCCCTGACGAACTCTTTCTTTGCTACCTCTTTCTTTGACTAACTCTTTCCCTGACATTCTAAAAGTCCGTAACACGGAAGTTTCTCCCCCTAAACTTCCTTTGATAAACAGTTTTACCATTATTTATGTGGAGGTTTCCTCTAAATTGTCCCTTTTTAACCAATCCAATGACCATTGAAAAGAACATACCCTCTGGTAATTTGTTACATAGCTATTGAACATGGTGATTTAGTTCGTGGATTTTCCCATGAATAGCATGGTGGATCTTTCCATAGCTACGTAAACGTTTACCAGAGGGTATCTCCATACATCCCACTATATCCATGATGGTTAAATCGCTGGTAAATGGATGTTCATCCCACTAAAAATGGTATTAATAGGTATTGATCCATTCCCAGACCATCCCAGACCCCACCAAAACCAAAAGCGTCCTCTTTCTCCTTCTCGTAACGCGAGAGCAATCTGGCCTTGGGTCGTTGGGTCATTCCACAGCCGCAGTTCCCTCTTAAAAAAAAGTACCCGGCCTGGTAAACAAACAAAAAACTATGGAAAATGGTGTTTTAATGGGATTCAATGGTGATTCAATGGCATTTAATGGGATTTAATGGGATATATGATGATATACCCTCTGGTAAACACACAAAAAACTATGGAAAGATCCACCATTTTTAATGGGTAAATCCACGAACTAAATCACCAGTTTCAATATCTATGTTAGTTTACCAGAGGGTAGGATGAAGCACCAAGTATAGAGATTAAGTAAAAATAGTCACATTCAGTCGTCAGTCGTCACATGTGTCAATTATCCAGATGTTGTTTGGGGAAACATGCATCTGTAATGATATGGGGATGGGTCAAAACCTTGTACCCCTGGTGAACATCAAAATAGCTGGTAAATGGATGTTCATCCCCCTAAAAATGGTATGTACAGGTATTGATCGTTGTATGATATAAAAACATGAATAATGCAAACACTGGAAGCATCCGCCTTTCACCCACAACGCCGCCATGAAAAATACCATTTGCCCTCTATTAATTTGACATAGCTATATCAAATTGCCTATCTACTTCCATGATTTACCACGAGTTACCAATTAATTAAGCATTGTGATTTTCCAGCCAGCTATGTTCGCTTACCAGAGGGCACCCGCAAAATGATGACCACAAACGGGTTGGTCAGGTAACACATCAAAAAATGACAGTTCCAAACCATCATTTTCCCAATTCAGTATCCGTTTTTCAGGCACTCCATGTTCAAAAAACATCCGTTAACTATCTGTATGTTTGTATGTGTATATATATATATATATATGTATATGAGGATTTCCATAAATGGGGGTACCCCAAAATGGTTGGTTAATAATGGAAAATCCTGTGAAAATGGATGATTTAGGGGTACCCCCATTTTAGGAAACCTCTCTATATATATATATCCCCATTACCTCGCAATTTCTTGGATCGTTCAGCCATTTTTCGATACCCCAGCCATGATGGCCTGTTCACTGGAACATCTCAAGAGAGCCTGGCACAGATAAGAAGTCGTCAAGTCATGTTTCTCAAAGACGTGAATATGATGGATATAGTTGTATAAATATACAGCTATATACATAATATGTATATATATATATACATAATATAATATATATATATATAAATGTTATATAGAGTTATATATATAGGAAATCTCCATGTAGAAGCATCAATGATCATGGTTTATGGCTACAATGTGGCTATAATGTGGATCAAATGTGGATATGATCAATATGATACTTGAAAGCAACAACATGTTTCAAAGGGTGACCTATGCATGAAGCACCAAAAGTCACCAAAAACAAACATAGATACCCCAGAGTAATGAAAGTAGATCATGTTCGGAAGGAAACCATAGGTTTTCCGACGTTTTTTGGGTTCCTACTTGGATTCCATGTCTCGTGGATTCCTGACTGGGATCCAACCACCATCAGAGAGTAGGCACCTTACCAACTCAACGCAACACTGGTTGGTGGTATACCTACCCCTCTGAAACATATGAGTTCGTGAGTTGGGGGTACTATTCCCAACTGAATGGAAAAATCATAAAATTCATTAAAAATTCCATGGTTCCAGTCACCACCAACTCAGCGCATCTTGGAAAACCCGCCCAACCAACTCAAAATGCCACGACAACAGTGGACCCGCCGATCCAATGGGAGGCGACTTGAGCTTTTATGGTTGGGTCCCAGGGCAGTCCCACAGCTATGGCGTATATCCCATGGGGGTTACGCCAGAGCCTAAAATGCCTCTGTTGGGCACCAGCTTTTGTGAGAAAACCCCATGATTTCGTGTTTTTAAGCGATTTGGGAAGAATAACAACGCACCTGTCAACTGCCGCAACATGCTACAAGTTCCTGTGATGATTCACAATGAATCTCCCAGATCAATGTATTGACACATACTACAACCATTGTAAATTACGAAACTACCATGTATGTTCATATCCATAATACATCATCCATTGCCAATCTTAGATGCGCTGTTTTCGTTTTGCATCTTTTTTGGTCAGCACATCCGAATCAAATTATATCAACATTCAATGGATTGGTTTAAGGTATTTTTTCAGGAAAACCCCGTATTGAATGGGAAAATCGATAGTTTCCAGTTAAGATTTCCCAACAAAACCAACCCATTGAAACGTGGCAAAAGATGAAGTCGTCCCCATAGCTCCAAATTGCTAGCTCTATTCTCCACAAGGTGGTGCCTCCCAGTGGAATGTTTCTTGGTGCAAAAACCATGGTAACTATAGAAATTTATGCATACTGTATGTATGTATATATATAAATTACAGTTGCATACATGTATATATATATATATACACTGTATACATATAATATTTAAAATGATAAACACTATAATTCCAACAGTTATTGGAGTTATGCTTACCAACATTGCTAACTTATCTTGGGCATTACCGCAAGTACTGGATAGTGCATTAACCCATCCCGACAAAACCCGACCTTTTCGTATCGGGCGGTCAGACGGGCAAGTTCTGCTTGGTGAAGGGTTTCTTGGACCTAGCGGAGGTGCAAGAGCTTCTGCTTGCTTTGTTGAAGCGTCAACTTAAATGGCCCTTTCGGACTTTCGGAGACAAACATGGAAAACATGACGATTGAACATCAATGCTTTGGGTGCCCCATCAGAAATTATTCTGATGCATTTTGGGTATCCCATGTTCATTTAGTAGGGTTCATTGACCCATGATCAAGCCACATGTTAGTAATCCATGAGTTTCCAAGAACCAGCTGGGATAGAAAGCGTCAGCCAACTGAGATCCGAGTTTGCTCCTTAATCAGCTCAACAGCCCAATGAGTTTCCTCTTGATCGTAGAAGTTAGCTAAGTTGCTGTAAAAGTCCAATGTCACTCTGGTTTTTGTAGGTGATATACCGAACTAATTACATCTAATTACTAGTTTTCATGGGATCATAATCCATTTATAACTGGGGGGGCACCACCTTGTACAAAAAATGTTCATGCTTTTTAATAGTTATGTCCCAATGATTCATCCAACCCCATGATGAATAAGACCTGACTATTAATTGACGGGCTTACCCTCAAAATAGTCTACTCTGGAAAAAAATGGTACCCCACCTGTTGTTGAACTGCAGCTTTCAGCTCCTGCGTTGATACTGGTCGAAAGGTTGGGTACGTTCATAAATCCTCCTGTCTTTGGTACGGTGAAACTTGAGGGTACCCTCCATAGCACTTAAGAACCCCAGAGTAGGCTGGAAAATTCTTAATCGGTTCTTATCTAACGGTTCTGCTGTAGTTAAAACCCTATAAAAACCATATAAAACCCACATATAATGTCAACCCTGGACTGACAAACCGCTAGGCTGCGTGAGGGTGCCATTTGAGTATTATCATTGTCTTTTAAGTAGCTCCCTAATTGATAGACCATGGTTTATCAGTCCAGGGTTCACACTACGGGTTTCAATCAGGGTCTGAATAAACAGTTGGATATGTTTTTTTGTTGAGAAATGATGGGTGGTGCATGATTTCATAGGGTGTTGTTGAAACATGGTTGCTTAAATCCTACAATGTGAGGCCCACCAGTTATAAGTTGGTTTATAAGCCCCAGCAACTATAGTTATAAGTACCATAAACCATAGTTATTGGAGTTATGTTCACCAACTTAGATATCTTGGGGGCCTCACATTGTATAGTCATGACCCAAATCCCGGCTTCTTTTAAGCTCCATCATCTCTTGCACGGCTTGTGCCTGACACCTTTCTTCAGCACGGATGGCGCGTAAGCGTTCCGCCTAAGACCGGAAAAGAGCCCCCAAGGATTTGCTGATGAACACAGCAGCAAATCAGCAACCCCAAATTGACATTGCCAATCTTAGATACCCTGCATAAAATGACAAATTCTTTGCTGGCTAGTAGATATTCCCATTAATACCAAAAGACTAAAGGATTAAAGTATCCATGTAAGATTGACCTAGTTGATGGCAACCCAAAATTGATGGCAACCCATCAACATTTTGGTTACGGCACACCCTCCGGATGTTGGATGAAGTTGATTGAAGTACTGGTACTTTCGTAAAAACCCCGAAAAAGATGGGCCCAAGTTATGGTAAAATCCTACAAGGTGGTGCCCCCTAGATAGCTAAGTTGGTTTATAACTCCAATAACTATGGTTTATAGGTGATATATCTATAGTTAATGGGATTGTAAACCAACTTATAACTTGGGGGGCACCAACTTGTACTAAATATCATGGTAAATTGAACATGTTCCATCTTTTTGCGGGGTCCTGTAATGGAATGGTACTGATTTTGGAATAACAAAGCTTAACCACGCAATGTTAAGATTGTGTATGACAAAATATGCACCACCAATAATGGCTAATGGAATGGGTAATGATTTTGGTGATTCTAATTTTGGATTGGTTGAGAACCGTGGCAATAATTCATCAATAGGTTCGATGAACCCTTTCGCTCTATCTCGGCTATTAACCTTGGAAGAGTTCTTGGACACACATCTAAGTTGATTCTCTACTGCTTTACCCTCTGGTAAACTAACATAGCATAACATAGCTATGGAAAATCACCATTTTTCATGGGAAAATCCACTATTAATGGCCATTTTCAATAGCTATTTTGACATAACCAGAGGGTAAGTAAAAACGGGCATCATATGCTGTCCCCAAGCTTCCAGACATATGAAAATCATTATCAAGGTGGAGCCGGAAATACTAAAAAACGTGGCAAAAAATCGCGATTTCAAACCAACCCCAAAATGATATTCATTCTCAATCATACCCAAATATGGATGGGTGAAATTCGGAAGATCTTTGAATTTGACAACACCAACCAAATGGATCCAAATGGTGTTGTACTTCCTTTCCCCTACAAAGTGGGGCCTTCCAATCGTGTTTGTTGATTTATAACCTCATGAAGCTATCACGAATACTATAGATATATCCACTAGAAACCCAACAGTTATTATAGTTATAAACTAAGTTAGCTATCCAACGGGGTTCCCACATTGTAACCCAGATGCAATAACTTAGATTTCACATGAAATCTTGTGAAGGGAGTCTGAAAAAGCAAAGATTGCCCCGGGAGGGTGCAAGATCTGCTAGGAACGTTTTCAAAATCAACAGGACCCAATTTCATCCTATGACCCAAATGGTGTTGTCAAACATGTTACGGGAAACGTCCAAAAACTTATGGTCTAGCATAATGTTCCTCATTAGGACCAACTTCAAGTACCTGAAAATGTTATTTTGACTAAGCAACAATCATCGTTTGCCCGAAAAAGAACTGATAAGTAATTAGATTCCGTTTTTGTTGGCTACATCTATCCCATTCTTATTCCAAGTATATTCCTGTTTATGATTTTTACGATGATGTTTACCCTCTGGTCAACATACAAATAACTATGGAAAATGACCATGTTCAATGGGTAAATCCACTATTTCTATCTATTTCTATGGTCATTTTCAATAGCTATGTTAGTCATTACCAGAGGGTAAGCCACCATTTTCAGATCCAGACTACGAATATGTGGCGAAGCATCCCCGGATCATCCCCAGGTGGTCGAAAACCAATCTTTGGTCGTCAAATCATCTCTTGCTCGTTGGTGTTCGCGTTCAAACACCACACGGATTCAACGCTTTTTTTCCCACTTGGGGGTGATCATTCTTCAACAAAACCCCATTTGGAGGTTTCCTACCATGGGGGGTACCCCAACAACTCATCCGTTTTAATAGGGATGTTCCATCATGAATCATCCAGCGATAAAGGGGTGCCCCCACATTTATGGCCCTTAACAATGATAAATGGGTTTATTTGATGATATATGAATATAACCAACCAGTTCTAGAGGAGTTGTGTTTTTTCCATTTATAAATTTTAAACAAATATAGCATATAGATATCTATAGTTATATCTTAAACTATAGCTGGTTGGTGGTTTTAACCATCTTGAAAATCATTAGTCAATGGGAAGGATTATCCCCTATATCATGGAAAAAATCATGTTTGAAACCAGCAACCAGATTATATTAAACCACCTTTATACAATGTGAGGCCCCCAAGATATCTAAGTTGGTGAACATAACTCCAATGTCACTATGGTTTATGGTACGCAAATAACGAACTAGTTACTGGGGCTTTTGTTAACCAACGTTCACATCACAACGGGGGGCCTCACTAATTGTAGCTATATACTTAAAGGGCCACAATTGCCGAGCCTGAAAGGCCTGTTCTTGTGCCGATTCGCCTTGCGCCACCTCGGCTTGCGATCTGTGGAAGCAACATTTCTACGCTGTGAAGAGCGTTCAGCCGATGGAAACAACATCAATATGGGGCCCCAGTGATGTTTGATGGTTTGTAAAGCCCATTATATAACTATAGTATACTATAGTCATAAGTTATAAGTATTATAAACCATCGTGTTTTTTTTGAGTTATTATAAACCAACAAAGGCCATCTAGAGGGCCCCACATTGATGGTGAACCACCATTTTGCTGGTGAAAACAGGTTGGATCCCCTTCGAGATGTGACACCAGATCATCAAAGTGCCAATTGCCTTGGTCTTTTTTTTAAGGTTTCAAGCTACTTGGATGACCATCAGTCCATATCAGTCCCACCAAACAAAAGCAACGAAAAAACCGTTGTTTCATGCTGGTAAAGCAATGATAAACCACCCATCCATGGTGGATCCGCCATCCACCGAAATGGCACTGCTATGGGGATGGTGGATCCTATGACTCCTCTGCTCTGACGAACAACTTCTCGTCCAGTTGGTGGTCCCCAAAAACCGCACAAGTTGATCCAGTTTCCTTCAGTTTGACCTGCCTTTGATAGTTCAACACTTTCAGGTGAAATGTTCGTTGGTTTCGATTCACCCCATGAAGACGAGTTCGAAGTATCTTTCATAAACCTCCGTAAACCTTGTATGTTCGCGTTAGAAACCAACTTAGGAAACTACATATGTGGGGGCCCCCAGTTTTGATAGCTAATATTGGCTTATTTCGTTATAAACAAAAATAATGGGATTCAGAAAACTTCAGCAACTGCTAAGTTGAAGCACTTCTAACTGGGTGAATTCTACGATGAAGGGGGGATACCAACCACAGTCGTATTCATGGGCTGAATCACCTGCCTCCGGCCCAGTCTAGCCATTGACATGTCAGTGGCCATTTCAGGAACCGATTGATTGGAGGTACCTACCATATATAAGGCCTATATAAGGCCTATGTAAAGAATTATCCCTACAAAATATGGCCTTATATGGTACAGTACCTCCATTTTAGGATCCTGAAATTCCCATTGAACATGGGCCAGATTATGATGGTGACATGGTACGGGCTTGACCAACAAACACTTGTACATCTGATGGCTATCTCAAAATGCCTATGAACATGATTATTATATCAAAATGATATCCCATGATACTGTGGATGGGCCAGCGAAATCCTGCACCACCAAAAAGATGGTTAAAAACCTATAAAAAAAATATTATGGTTTAAATATATGGTTAAAAACCTATAAACCTATTACATATTAATGGATGGCCAATTAATAAATGGGATGTTTACCACCTATCAGATCCATCAACTGGTGTAGGATTTCGCCCCATCCCATGGTGGCTCACATCCCCCAGGCCTTTTCCAGGAGCTTTCGCCTTTCCATCAAGAACTCCTGCACGGCAGATTCGGTGGATTTGACCTTGCCGTAATAAACATCATAAGAAGAAAATATGTACTATTCATATACCTAACATATGTATATATATATATATATATGTATATAGTAGATAAACATATACTACAATATATATATAATTACATACATGTAATTCTATATATATATATGTAATCATCTATATATATATATATGTAATTATATATATACCACATGCGTCAAAGGCCTCCTTTTGAAAGGCCAAATTTATCGGGTTCCTCTATAACCCTACTAAAATGCTGGCCTCCGGTGGCCATTATGACCCACAGGTTTCACCAAGATATGTTCATTGGGAGTTCTTGATTTCAAGAACTCAGACCCCATGACGGATCCATGGTGCTGCTATATGGCTGCTAACATAAAGGGGGTATATTGATGGGATCCATGTTACCATATATAGCAGCACCATGGATCATATGGGTACTATAGAGTATAGAAATCTGGGTTTATCGATTATCAAAATTGCAGAGGCAGAAATGATGTTGGGCTATTTCATGTTGTGTTTTTCCGGAAAAAAAACAGGTATATGTTTCGAAAAAAAAAAAAAACACATGAGCCATGGAATGGCCGTGGAAGAACCGTGGGAATACGTTGAAATGCTGTGGAAACACGTTCAAAAACATGGAAAGGTGTAAAAAAAGCGTGGAAGGCGTTCCCACCAAAAATTGTATTTTTTGTTGTGCTGGATATGGAATCACGAACAAAACAACATAATTCAGATGTGCAATTTTCTTATGCGTGATCGACAGTGCTCAAAACCCAGTGTAGTGGAAGTATGTATAGATTATCTGGTTGGTGGTATACCTACCCCTCTGAAAAATATGAGTTCGTCACTTGGGATTATTCTTCCCAACTGAATGGAAAATAAAATTCATGTTCCAAACCATCAACCAGATTATATACCACCAGGGTTATTGTTAGGTGTGCTGTTGGAACTTATTGAAACAATAATTGAGGGTTGATCTGATAGGTGAGACATTTGGGGGCTACATAGATGTAAGGCCTTTGGGGGCCCCTTTGTCCAAAGGCCTCCATTTGTGAGGCCTTTGGAGCCTTGGGGTATATGGTGATTTAAAAATATATATATATATATAATATGGATCTGGTATATATATACACGTATAATTATTATATATCTATCATATCCCTGTGGATCCAAGTACCTTCTTAGGAAGTGTTTGGGGTATGATTTGGAGGGTTAAGTACCTTCTCAGACAGTGGCCATGGATCCAGAGGGTATGTATATATGCATATGATTTCAATATATAAATATAAACCAATAAACATCATATTGCGTGGGCCTCGGGGCTCCCAATCAGCCCACAGATTTGGGCATGAATCCCAAAAAACTACTAGAGGGCTAGAGGCGATATTTTGCATACACGACAATACGAAACATGGCCGCATACCCTTTGTTTTGGCACAAGAACAAGTTCCTGAAATTTGCCTCATTGCCACTGCAGAGATAACCAATCCTCCGTTACTATTGACACCCCCATGGGCTGAACGGAATGGATTACCATTCTGAGACCACGACCACTTCCGTTGAACCAACATGTTTTCTGGAGCCCCTAAGTTTTGCTGGTTGAGTTTTGTTGGGTCCCAAAGAAGGAATCTATGCAAAAATCCAAGATATGGCTGTTTGCAGAATTGAGGTATACCCCCACAGCTATGGCCATTTACCAGTTATAACTGGTTATTTTTATGGGATTATACATTCTATAAATGGGGTTTTCTTAGTACTTATAACTGATAAATGACCATAACTGCAGAAAAAACCTCTTCTCTTTTATAACTATAGTTAATGGTACCTATAAAATGGGATACCCCAGTTAAAAGTTGGTTTAATTGTGGTATACCCCCAGAAAACGCTGATTCTCCGGAAAAAAAAAAAACTGGCAATGAACCACAGGCCTGCTGTAGCTCTTGACCCCCCTGGACCTCGGAGAATGATCAAAGCCACAGGCAATTTTTATCCGCTTCAAAAAAACATGTGGAAACCATCACAATTTCACCACACATATATATATATATATACATAATGTATATGTATATTATATATATATATTGACATAAAATTCTAGAGGCAACATTCCCATATTCAGAAAATCTTCGCATACCATGTTTTCATCGTACTCCAGACCTGGGTTTTGGTATGTTACTTTGATAGGCATTTCAGCTCAATCTGGAGGGAACAGTTGGCCCACGGCGAATCCACTGAATGCCCCCCCACAGCTTTCTATCCCCTGTCGTTCCAAAGCAGCTGTGGACGTTGAATGAATTGAAGGCTGCTTTGATAAGGAAGTTTCCTCATTTGTCTACCGAAGAAGGACAGGGTTGTCAAAGGTAACGTTTTTACAGGTTGGCTGAGTAAAAATTAGCAAATTTCTTCCCCGGGACCTCGCCCAAGGTGAACTCGGAAAAATAGAACCCACTGGTGTGCCCCTGGAAGTTTGGGCTGGCTTTGGGATTGGAATTTTGGTTCTGGCCCCGAAATTTCCCTATGTGGTCTCTATACCAGCCACACATACTCGGAATTCTTCGCATTCCACAAATTCTTCGCACTCCAGCGAGGGCATCGCACTCCACAGCTAGGGACGTACACATACTGTAAAATCCACGCACTCTGCAAGATCTTCGCACTCCATAAAATCTTCGTACTCGGTGATTTTCTCGTTTTTTCTGTTTTTTTTTTGTTTTTTTTTTTTTTTCGTTTTTTTTTGGCTAAAATCGCCTGGAATCACGTTTTCTGGAATATGGGCAAGGTAGCGGTTTCGCGTGAGACGTCTGTAGTTTCACATACTATCGCATTCCAGGCCATTTTGGCCAAAAATGACCAAACAAAAAAAAAAAAAAGCTCAGCAGGGTGAAATGTGATAATTTTCTGGTATATGATGGAAAAAATTGGTGTTGGATCCATGGGGAAAGTCGAAGGGGGCCACGCATACTGTTTTATTTTCGCATTCCAGAAAATTAGCGCACTACAGGGGTGGCATCGTACTCTATCGGTGGAATTATTTTGCACGGAAGAAAACAGGATCGTCGATGATTTGTGTTCCCAGATCCTGTTGTGCAGAGCTCTTTGCGGGGCCACAAAGATGTCAAGAAAGATGGGGATGGCGCTGCTGATGAAAGGCCAGCCAAGTGTGCCAGAACATAAGCTTAAAGCTTATGAATTGGGTTTTGAGATCCTGAAAAGTGTAGATGACAAATTCCCATAAGAACATTATTAATCCATTTTTGGAAAGCTCAACATTGTTAATTATGACATTTCCAGAAATTGTTGAAAGTAAGGATCTTCTTTGGGGAAGAACATGTGCAGTCGACAACGTACGTGCCAGAAGAAAAGGAGTACTTGGTAAACTGTATGAAATACAAATTTCACCTGAAAGGGGTCTTCGCAATTCCTAAATTTTCCCAGCTATTTTGGCATGGAATATGTTCAGCCCTGGAATATGGGCAAGAAATTGCTAGAAAAATAAAATATAATATAACATAAAATAATATAATATAATATAATATTTTTTTTAATTTAATACAATATAAACAATATAATATGATACAATATATGTTAATACAATATATGATAATATAATATAATACAATTTAATTTAATTTAATTTAATACAATATAATATAATATAATATAATAAAATATAATATAGTATAATATAATATAATATAATATTTTACAATCTAAAATTCTATTATATAATATAATATAATATGACATAAAATAAAATAATATAGCAAAATAAAACATAATATAATATAATATAATATATTATAATATACTATAATATAAAATAATATACTATAATAATATATAAGCTCGGTCTGAAACTGATTTATATAATGACCATGTTTTTTTGAGGGGAAAATGATGGTTTACCAATGGATTTAGAGGTACCATATTTTCAGACAAACCAAAAAACACCTCTAGTAATGTACCTATAGTTTTTCGTTTTCGATGTTTTTCCCCACCTGCCAGGTGAGGGTTGTTAGATTTTATGTCAGTTGCCTCCTCCTCCTCCTGCTCCTCCTCCTGCTCCTCCTCCTGCTCCTCCTCCTCCCTCCTCCTCCTCTCCTCCTCCTCCTCGTCCTCCTCGTCGTCCTCGTCGTCCTCGTCGTCCTTGCTCAACTGCGACCCGCGATCCACAGTGTTCGCTGCCGGACCTCAACCACGTGTTCCCTGCCGGACCTCAACCACGGCCCAGTGTTCCACCTCAACCACGACCAGCCCAGTGTTCCCTGCCGGACCTCAACCACGACCATCCACGCCCAGTGTTCCCTGCCGGACCTCAACCACGACCATCCACGCCCAGTGTTCCCTGCCGGACCTCAACCACGACCATCCCGCCCAGTGTTCCCTGCCGGACCTCAACCACGACCATCCACGCCCAGTGTTCCCTGCCGGACCTCAACCGCGAGTATCCACGCCAAGTGTTCCCTGCCAGACCTCATGTAGGAAGATATGGGACAAAGAATGTGCAGAAGAAAGTTACAAAGATAGAATGCCAGAAGATTTGCCGGATAGAATGCCAGAAGATATGCCAGAAGATATGCCAGATAGAATGCCAGATAGAATGCCAAATAGAATGTCAGAAGATATGTCAGACAGAATGCCAGAAGATTTGCCAGATAATATGCCAGAAGATATGCCAGATAGAATGCCAAAAGATTTGCCAGATAGAATGCCAGAAAATATGCCAGGAGATATGCCAGATAGATATGCCAGAAGATATACCAGAAGATATGCCAGATAGAATGCCAGAAGATATGCCAGATAGAATGCCAAAAGATATGTCAGAATAAATGCCAGAAGATATGCCAGATAGAATGCCAGAAGATATGTCAGATAGAATGCCAGAAGATATGCCAGATAGAATGCCAGAAGATTTGCCAGATAGAATGCCAGAAGATATGCCAGAACATATGCCAGAAGATATGCCAGATAGAATGCCAAATAGAATGTCAGAAGATATGTCAGAAAGAATGCCAGAAGATTTTCCAGTAAGAAAATGTATAAATTTGTAAATGTCATGGTGGGGATCACACGAAGTAAAGTAATTTGCAAGGACCTCGGGAAAAAAAGAAAACAAAACATAGAGATGCAACAATTACCATTTCTAGCTGGTTAGGACTAATTTTACCACTGATAGCAACAGATGAATGATTAAAGTATTACCCTCTGGTTATTTAACATAACTATGGAAAATCGCCCTATAGATGATAAACATGATGATTTACCTATTCAAAATGGGATTCTTTTCGCTATCTTAAATAACCAAAGGGTATAACATTGTACAACGGTATTTAATACAACCGTCAATCTACCACTATCAACCATTCATAGCAAAAGCTTGGCCCAGAGAACGGCTCATGAAACCTCCGGGAAGCGCTTTCGATCACCTTGAGGAGCTCTGTTTGTCATAGACTTGGTCTGAGTAGCCTCTGGTAAACATACAAAAAACGATTGGTTACGTGGCCATTGATATAGTTGGTTTACCTATTTAAAATGGATAAACATTGTGATTTTCCATAGTTTTCTTAGTTTACCAGAGGGTATCGGATCACAAAAAAATCAGCTCCACCGATGTAACCGGCGCCCGGACACAGGAGGAACGCTGATGCAGCAGTTCCTTTTCAAACCTGCAGATCAGGAGGATGGTTTCCCCATGGCTGTCACGGCTGTGTCTGGCTCTGTAAGAATCTAAGATATCAATGTGGGGACTCATAGATGGGTCCATCGGTCTAAATGACTCCCTGGGACCCATAAAAAAGGTTTTTCCCCACCTGCCAGGTGAGGGTTGTTAGATTTTATGTCAGTTGCCTCCTCGTCCTCCTCCTCCTTCTCCTCCTCCTCCTTCTCCTCCTCCTCCGCCTCCTCCTGCCTCGTCCTCCTCTCCTCCTCCTCCTCCTCGTCCTCCTCGTCGTCCTCGTCGTCCTTGCTCAACTGCGACCCGCGATCCACAGTGTTCTCTGCCGGACCTCAACCACGACCATCCACGCCCAGTGTTCCCTGCCGGACCTCAACCACGACCAGCCACGCCCAGTGTTCCCTGCCGGACCTCAACCACGACCAGCCACGCCCAGTGTTCCCTGCCGGACCTCAACCGCGAGTATCCACGCCAAGTGTTCCCTGCCGGACCTCAACGGCCAGATAGAATGCCAGAAGATATGCCAGATAGAAAGCTATAAGATATGCCAGATAGAATGCCAGAAGATATGCCAGATAGAATGCCAGAAGATATGCCAGATAGAATGCCAGAAGATATGCCAGATAGAATGCCAGATAAAATGCCAGATAGAATGACAGAAGATATGCCAGATAAAGTGCCAGAATGTTTGCCAGATAGAATGCCAGAAGATTTGCCAGATAATATGCCAGAAGATATGCCAGATAGAAAGCTATAAGATATGCCAGATAGAATGCCAGAAGATATGCCAGATAGAATGCCAGAAGATATGCCAGATAGAATGCCAGAAGGTATGCCAGAGAGAATGCCAGATAAAATGTCAGCTAGAATGCCAGAAGATATGCCAGATAAAGTGCCAGAATGTTTGCCAGATAGAATGTCAGAAGATTTGCCAGATAATATGCCAGACGATATGCCAGATAGAATGCCAGAAGATATGCCAGATAGAATGCCAGAAGATATGCCAGATAGAATGCCAGAATATATGCCAGATAGAATGCCAGAAGGTATGCCAGATAGAATGCCAGCAAATGTCAGATAGAATGCCAGAAGATTTGCCAGTAACAAAATGTATTAAATGTCATGGTGGGGATCACACGAAGTAAAGTAATTTTTTTCATTTGGATACATTTGGCATAACTCCAAGTTGCCAACGGTGTATGATATGCAAATAGGGGGGTTCATCTAAACCAAAGGTCATTGTATTGGACGGCCCTGAACAAATCCAGCATCTCTTCAGCAGTTTCACAGCTCTGAATCCACTGGACAACTGGGATGCCGTTCCAGTTCTGCAGCTGTGCAGCTGTATGGTACAGGATGGGCCCCCCCAGTGATGTGAACGTTGGTTAACAACCCCATCTAAATACAGTTATAAATATCATACACTATTGATATTATAGTTATAAACCAACTTAGCTAACGAACTGGGGAAAAATCCTGTACTGGTTGGTGACTTTAGCCAACTTTAAATTGTTCGTCAATGGGAAGGATGACATCCCATACATTAGTATATACATTAGGGAAAAACTGTTTGAAACCACCAACCAGGGTAAGTTGTAGGGGCCCCGATTTTTTTTTAATTTATGGGGCCGATTACCAATGGTCATAGTGTAATTTGCTTCCATGGCCTGGGGGATTTACTTGCCAGAAGATGTTGCTCCAACCATAACAGGCTGACGCCAAAATACCGGTTTGGAAGCATGAAAAGCCGCGACTCTAGAGCCCCCGCTGCGGCTCTCAGCGAAATAGGGATCTATCAAACTGCTTACAAATGGTAGGGTTCATGATGGTATTCCACCTAGCCCCTAGTAATCTAACCTGGCAATGGTACATCCTCATTGAGACAATCATCTATATATATATACACTATGGAGAAGTACAAGGTGAGGACCCCCAGGTATCAGTCGGTTTTTAATCTCACTAAAATACGTACGATAGTGATATGCTCCCATAAACTCTAGTTAACCAAATTCTAGGCAAACGTTGCTATCTACGGATATCTACGGGGCCTCACTTTGTACAGTTTGTACAGCATTACGATGTGTTTCCGCTCGTTGTTTCACGCTGTGTCTCACTGAGATTTCCCCGGCCTTCTGCTTTCTTCCTGTCACGGCTGGTGGAGAACTGAGCATGGCCGGCCATGTTCGACCCATGGAGCCCGCGCTCTGCTTCTCCCTTAAAAACAGCGACCCTCTGGTTTCAAAAAAACGTCGCAAGCTGGGAAATCTATGGAAATCCCCTGTTTTTCTATTGCACATGGCAAGTTTCAATGGGAAAAAACATCAAACTCAACTGGGAACAGGGATCGAAGCCAGGATGAAACCGGATGGTCTACTCAACTCGAGGCCCATGAGTTGCAAAATCATGGTGACCTTTCCAAATGGTCAATCCTCCAAAAAAAACATGGGTTTTGTTGATTTATGATCAGTATGATTCAACAAGTTTCAACAAAGTTTCTAGGAATCATACTGGTTGGTGGTTGACCAACCCCTCTGAAATCACATGGAATCACAGGTTTCAACCAGTTTTCAGCACCATGCTTCGCACATGGAATCATCCCCCACGGCCAATCTCAGTCCTTCCACTCTTCCGCCTCAAGCCGACCCGGGATGCGACGGTTTCAACGGAGAAGAATTGCTTGGTTTCTACAATGGGGTACCGGGTACCCCCGTTGATAGTGGGAAATCCCATCTATAAATGGATGAGTTGTTGGGGTACCCTCATGGATTGGAAACCTCCATATGTTTAATTTCTCAAAGCGTATCACTGAATTTGTTGATGGTTGAATCATGTGAAATCCCTTTTAAACGCATAGATAATTGGTTAGTTAAATCCCCAAACTAGTCAACTAGTCATCAACCGGGGTGTTCTTATAGGCCATTTCTCACCTGCACCCCCGTTCGAACAAGAAACAAACAAGGCTCTTTCCCCATAACAAATGATCGTTCCACTATACTATATATGGCTATTTCTGGTTGTTTAGATTTGTTTAGGCTTCCAGCTAGAAATATTGAAACGTGTGTAGATGTGTATAGATATACCCGTCCACTTCAACGGCCCCAACACTGGTGGGGCTGGCGCGGGTTTCATGGTTTTTTCCAACCAGTCGTTGCGGGATCAGATCCATCACTTTAAAAAACGGGTCGTTGTGGGTCGTTTGGAGTGTCTAAAGGATGGGGATAGCGTCCAGTTGCCTAAAAAATGTTGTTGAATTCAATGGTTTATGGTAGATATAACTAACTAGTGGGCTTTATAAACAAACTTACAACTGGGGTGCTCCATCCTGTATGGTAATCATATATGTAATCATTTCACTGAAGGATCACACCTTGGTCATCTCCCTTTTTGGGCTGGTTGATTCGCTGGAAAAATTGGGATTTTCCAACCAGAAAATCGGATGACGCTTGGCTAAATACCCAATTGCTAACTGCCCAGTAAAGTGAAATCGATATGGACAACTCATCGGGTAGATCAGGTTCCTTGGAAAATGTGAACCATGGATTTTCCATGCTTTTGTCTTATTTCATTTGCAAAAGAGTTACTTGTCAATTACTTGTTGTTATTGAAAGATTTTGTTTATTTCAGCGGTTATCGTAAATGATACTTGTTGTTATTTTCAATGTCTTTTCCATTGTCTTATCTCATTTGTTGTTGAGGGACATTCTTTGTCAAGTACTTGTTGTTGGGGATGCAGCGTTTTCAAACAGATACAGTTATAAGAAACCGAACTATAGTACGATAGCAATACTATAGGTATTTATAGGTCAAATTCCACTATAAACCATGGTTAGCCTAGCTATAGATGTTATTCGCTGAGTCAGCTAAGGTTCGACGCGTGGCAAACCAACTGTTCAAATTCCCCGCCTCTTCTCTTTGCATTTTGCATCGCATTTCACTTTGTTGAAGTTGCACCTTTAGGATCTGCAAAAATCAAGGAGCAGTGGCTGCTAAACCCTGTTGGTTGATGATTATAGGGGATTAAAAACAAACCAATGTTTGTTGGTATCATAATAATCCAATAGGGGAATCCCTTTTAACCAACCAGTATAATGGAATGACAGAGGGGTTTTGAAGAATCCTCAAATGGCAATGGTGAAAAAATGGAACAACTAATTGGAGTATGTATAATCAACAAACTATGCCAAGCATCAATATATCCACGAATGGTGGAAATTCAGTTCCAAAACAACGGCACGAAACCAACCGTTTTATGGGGATACAAAAGGGATAGAAATGCTACGACTAAACTATAACCAACAACATGATTTGGGTGTGTCCGAACATGTGCTTTTTCACATGGGAACTAGCACCCAAATTGCAGTTGTGATAAGAGAGCTTATGATAAACAATCAAATTTACTGGTACCCCATTTTGAGACAAGCCCAATTTGCTGTGGGTCCAATCAGTTAAGTGCTGAGAAAGCACCTAGCCCCTGAATATTCCTGAGAAACAACACTTCATCAGAAAGTAATTGGATACATTGAGAATCTAACTTGGACATGTTTGTTGACAGTAAGAAAGTAACTTGTTTGTCCATTGATTTATTCCTTTTCATAGTGATCCCTCCGGCTTTAACATCCGATCCAGGATATTTTTGATGTGCATGTTGTCACCAACCACAAAAAAGAAATGGAATCATTCTCATGTCCAGACTATTGGTTTTCCAATGATCACAATATAGCATCATCGATGAATATATGCAAGATTCTTCAGAAATCTTCAGAAATTCAGCATTTCACCGCTTTTCCCATGGCCAACAGTAGCTGGTAATCGAACTACTTCACATGCACTCAATGGTACGCCCAATCCTGTAGAATGCCATCGCGCCCATTGGTGCAGAAGAATCTTGACAAACAAACACGTGTCAGAATTACAAAAACAAAAAATGTAGGTTTCCTAAAATGGGTACACCAAGTGACCATAGGTTTCAATACCAAGTCATGATCTAATGACTGGATGATTTGGGGGTACCCCCATTTTAGGAAATCCCCATATAAAACAATCAAAATTATGTAATATCCAATCCCGTCATTCCTAAATAAAAAACCTATTTGAATATATTGGATCTATTAATGAATTGGGTTCCCATATTTATGGGCAAAATTCACATGAACGAGGAAATGGGACTAGATCCATATGATCCATTTCCATCTGGCAGATTGTTGTCTAAAACATTCTAAAAACACCGTTTTAGTAGGTGATACTCACCATTTCGGTTGCTGAACCCCCCATGTTCAACCCTAAACCTACGATATCCTACGAAAAATAATGTTTGAATTTCTAATCAAATTAAATATTCCTCAGAATTTTTACAGGTAACATATGGTAACATATCCGAAACGGGATCAAAAAAAATGCTGCACCAATCACTTAACGGAAGCCGCTGCAAACAGTGGGCAAAATCTGGTGTGCCACGGATGTCCATCCAGACAGGATTGCTCCCGACACTGCAGACGTTTCCAGCAGTTATGGCTATGAGTTATAACTGGTTATTTCTATGGGATTATACATTCTATAAATGGGGTTTTCTTAGTACTTACAACTGGTAAAGGGCCATAACTGAGGGAAACATGGATATATTTTGAAGGGTAAAAATGACTAAGGATTACCTCTAGGAAATATTAATTCAGCCTCCTATGATCCAATAGTGCTCAAGTGTTCAAAAAAATGTTTGTGGTGATTTTTTCAGCAACGAAAGAACAGAACGTTCTGATTCTCTCGAATAACATCATCAGTTTCTGCTGAATTGAAACAACTAAATTTTAGGAGGATTATACTCTTCCCAAAAATGGAATACCCCAATACTTGATGGTGTATCATGATTTCCCCCGCCCCCCCCCAAAAAAAAAACACCGCTAAATCCACCTTTTTCAGGTACACCCATGTTTACAGTTTGACCCGATAATCTGTTTGCCATTTGTTCGGTCGTCCTTTACCACTGGAAAAAAAATTACTTGTAATTTCAAATCCTGAAGTGAGATCATTAAAAAATGTAAGCTGGTAGGCATCAATTCCTTGCAGAAAAATAGGAAACCCAGAAGTACTGACACACACACACACAGATATATATATATATATACACATTATTATACAGTGTAAATATATATATATGTATATATATATATATATATTTACTGTTTATATTTGTACAAGGTGTGTCTCACTGATAGATTTGATTGTGTCGTAAAAAATCAAAACACCTCAGTGAAAAGAAATTGTCTAATGATGCTCTCAAGTGGACACTGAGAACCAGACCTATGGCATCTGTTCCTCCAGCACCCAGGCCTGCTGCACAAGAAAAAGGTCTGGAGACATGTGTCAAGTTGGACATACCGTGATGCCACGGAAGCGGCCACGACTTTTGAAGCTTGCCGTGCTGTGCACTAGATCTGCGCATCATTGGTCTGGGGCATGCTGTTGCATTGGTTGGATACACAACTGCAGTCCAGCCAGCTGTACTTGAAAAATCTACTCATCTACTAGCTGACAGATGCACAATTCCAATATATAATTTGATTCATGACTACATACAAAGTAGTGAGTGGTCCTAATTATTTGAATGGACAATGATGCACGACGGTACTCGTCTACAATTCATATGCATCTCATAGAAATTGTAGACGAGTACCGTCGTGCATCATTATCCATCCAAATAATTAGGATCACTCACTCACTGCGTGCGCACTGATGTTGGCCCGGCGTGAGCGCCACAACACAACAATCAGGCTATAAAAGATGTGAAACCAAAAACCAAACACATTTTGGATTTGTGCAAGCTACATACAAAATCATTCAAAATCATTCAAAATCATTTGCGACTTGTACAAAGGTCAGGAAATCTATGATCAAAGCAACATGATTGAACATGACACTGGGAATTTGTCACTTCTTCTGCTTCGCAGAGCCAACAACATTGCCCATTGGATTTTGGGCCCAGCCACCATTTTCCCTGTCATCCCTGGCTCACATGCCTTCCCCATCATCCATAGGCCCGGCGCAAACGCCACAACGCTACAGAGTCAGGGTACCAGCTGAGGTGCGTTGCCAAAACAAGAAAATCGAGTGAATTTTATCAACCACAGTAAATAGCATAGAAACATATACATTTACATATAATCATTTATACATGTTATGTGAATTGATTATGATATATATATATATATATACTAGCATATACATTTATAGATAATTATAAATAATATTTATATATAGAGGTGTAGATACACTAACATGGTATTTGTTTATTATCTGACATGATTCTAGATCCAAGATGTATATAATTACGAACACATATTTTACACAATGTTAGACAGGAAGCATTTCAAATGTGTCCAAACATTGATGCACATGCACCCCTTGCCATGGACAGCGGATGAATGGAAATCACGCCTCCACGATTTCCATTGTCCAGGCCCAAATTGGTAAAAGCAAATAATGACATAAACATGTCCAGGTGTCACTTCCCGAGCCACTTGAACTGAATCATCATGCAATTGCAAGATGATAACAGGCCACCATGTGATATGATTTGCATTCTCCCCGCTCCCACTTGCATTTGGGTCAGGGAGCGGGCCGTCATCGGGAATTTCGTGGTAAAGACGCAGCATTGTCTTGTCGTATGTGGAATTCCCGTACTTGCCGCTGCTTGCACTGTACTTGACAGCGGCAAAGTGAAACCCCGTGGTGGACTCGTTGGTTATCACGTGTATTTTGGCATTTTTGCTGCGTCCACGCCTTGGATTTGCTAAAGGGACTCAAAAATAAACAGAAAAATAAAAACCTATACTATGGAATCCCCAGATGATGGATTCTCCCCATTGGGCACAGAAATAAAAAAAAATCGACTTAAACAAACCGAAGACGCTTCAAGAATGCACAGTGGCCAGCCCTAAATTTCATCATCAGCACCTTGGGCAGCTCGAAGACAGCATTACCAGAATATTCCATGAGGCCCTTTTTGGTGCGCACCTTGCAACCAGAACCCCGTCGCCGCAGGCCAAACCCAGCCGGCGGGCCAAACAGCCGGTCCAGCTGGGACTCTTCCTTGAGTACCCGTTGGTGTGCACTGGACATTGCGTGACTGTCATCACACTGCTTGCCGCATGCCAGACGCATGCCATCCTTCAAAATTCGGCTGTGAATGCTTCTTCAGTTGGCTCTACTGCTTCAATGTCTTTATCTAGCCAGAGACCTTTCAAAAGCATTTCCTCTAAGAGGTTGGTGCGATCTTCTCTGAACTGTTCAGCCTGTTCGGCATGATGCTGCTGTATGATCTCCGTCGTCAATTGTGAGGATTGGGCCTGCTCATGTTGTATTTCCTTGTACAGGCGCTTCCTTTCCTCAGGGTTCAGTTCATCCACTTCGGCAGCAGTCATTTTGCCTTTGTGTACCATGGACCTGAAGAATCTTGAAGCCTTTCTGCCCGGGCCGCGGGAAGCTTCCGAACGTGTATTCGTTCTCTTGCTGCTTCCAAATTCGGTAGTGCGTTTCGCACTGTCTTCAGTGTCTGGCACTTACATGTCAGAAGCAGGTGCATCCATTGACACATCTACACTTGTTGACTCCAACGAGATGTTGTCCTTCTTCATCTCCTCCCGCAAGTGCCGCACGATTTGAGAGCCACTTGCGGGAGGAGATGAAGAAGGACAACATCTCGTTGGAGTCAACAAGTGTAGATGTGTCAAAGGATGCATCTCCCGCAAATGCCACACGATTTGAGAGCTGTGTCGTTGTTTTTTTCCTTGAACCGATTGCACGAGAGTATACAGAGCGATACAAATGCTTGGCAATGCGTTGCCTAATTTCCTACTATGATATTCTATATGTACTGCATATGATCATCCATGGTCTACTATGTGGGACTGAAACTATGTGGATACAAGTGTCCAAAAGTAAATAGAGGAATTGAAAACATCCAGCACAACAGAATGCACAATAATGCGCATACTACAGCAACTTTACATTGTCCGACATCCTTCTACATCCACTATGTGTATACATTATATATATAAAACTATAAAGTATATATAGCCACAAGCCGTCCTACTCGCACCTCATGAAGCTGCTCCTGTGTTGGCCAAATGACCTTCAGAACTGCTTACAGTATATAGAAGATGCTTGATGATTAGATAGTGAAGAGCCAATCCACACCAATGGAAACATCAATTCACAAGCTCTGGGGTGTTTAAGTTGAATTGTGTTGCAATGTGACACTCCAACAGCACACACTCACAAGATGAAATAAAATGAAAACTGTTCTCCAAAAAGGACTTCAAAATACAATTTTCCTTCCAAGGCTGAAGAAGGGCTGTTTTGAAGGGTTCACCTGAGACAGGGAGACATTCCTACTTCCAAACAGCACCTCAAGCTTTACCAAGATCTCATGTTTAGCAAGGAGTTCGACACCTACTGATGCCCTAGCTTACATTTTGTGTCGACCATGTTATATTCTGTAGTGATATACTATACTCTATACCGCATCTTTTTTGAGATCCCTCGACAAAGCAATATTTCAAGCGAATCAATGATAGATGATCCTTCACAGCACCTTTGATAATGAAGTATATAACAAAAAACATGCTTTCACTGCACCTTGCGTTCAGAAGAAATGACATCACACCATCCTTGACAAACATATCAAGTGGACACTGAGAACCAGGCCTATGGCATCTGTCCCTCCAGCGTCCAAGGAAGAGGGATGAAAAAAAAAGAAACATGCAAGGTTTGACCATTAAAAAAATGGCAGCAAAACTGGGTGCTGGCTTCATAAACTAAATGGCTTTCTTATCAAAAAAACAATTTTGAGGTATCAAAATCAGACATTTGATTTGTCAATGGATTGATTTGGGACGATTCAGTAGCAACTGTTGATCCAGATCTCTATCTATAGTGCTGTTTAAAACTCACCGGAACATGATCTTTACATACATTTACTAAGCTCTAACCAAAAGTTTTGATTCAACTGTCATCTTGGATTTGTTTCAAGAACCACCCAAAAATAAAACATATGTTTTCCCAATGTAGTGGATTTCCCACTGGGATCATCAACTCAGCGAATCCAGGCTGTATTTCAGGGTATTTCCAGCTCATGGATTGTGATAAGCGTATTTCCCAGTTTTATACCACATGTTTACCAGTGATGTTCATTGGGAAATAATGGTTTGTGCTGCCTTTTGAACATGTTCCACAGTTTTTGGAAAAGAAGCCTCGAACTTCTGAAAGATCCTCTTCTTTTTCTGGTCATGATCAATCATCAGGTCATGCTTGCTGTTTGCCTCGGCCTTGATACCTTCAACCTTGGCATCAAAAGAAGTCTGTGCTTGCTTCATCAGAGCCTCCATTTCGCTACACCTTTGATATGCCTCATTGACTGCTGCTAGCGCTTTGTTTTCTATGTTTTGCACTTGCTGCTCATGTTCCTGCTCTTGGTGAGCTTGCCTACTGGTCGACTCATTCCTCAAACTTTCAACAACTCCTTTCATGATCTGAAGGTGCCTCTGTTCAGCTTCCCTCATTGCCTGTAGAGCGTTGCTACTGGTGATCTGGGACATGCTGTTCTGAGTGAAAGTGAAGTATGCAATCACCGGCCGGTAGAACACATCGTCATCCGTAGGCATAGCGAGAGGAAGGTCACTGGGGGTCCCCATGGCTAGTGGTGAGACTATGAGTGATAACCTGTAGTTTACCAGGTCCGCTACAATATAGGGGCTAAACCTATATAGTACACAATCAAACCGCTAAGCCAAGCTGCTGATCCCTTTTGGGCCAACGCCACGCACGAGGTGGGTGGTGCTATGCTACATGCATTTTACTGCAGTAGCTTTGACCGTTTCCATCACATTCCACAATTCACAACGAGCCACCACCATTGACGTGAACAAAAAAAACTGCCGATTTTCTTAGGTTCCCCTGATATTGTGACATTGACTACCTTGAAAAATCAGGCTATATCGGGATAATCCCCCGAATCCTGACCATCATTCCAGTGAGGTCGCGACGTGAAGTCGTTTTTACATACGCGGATACGTTAGAAAGCAAAATCCCATTAGGCAATCCCAGAAAAAATCATGTGTTGATAACAAAAAACTCAATTTTTGGCACCACTCAGACCTTAAGTCCTGGTTTACCCCAAATTCGGATTAAAATCCAAGATCGAATCATATCTTACATCATCCTACTACCAATCATATTGTTCCCCAATCATTATTAAACAACTATTCCCATAGTTTTACTCATGGATTCATATTATACCCCAACCACTGATATTCATATTCAACCTGATAAAACAAAAATCATGAAGAATTCAATGCACTATCTAGCTATTGTATATATTATCCGTAAATCCATGATAAACTGTTACCATCAAAAACCTTCTTTACAGGTACCAGGCTTCCTGTTCCGGAATAGGCATTGGACGGCAACCCTCCACTGGCGTTCCGCTTCCGTTCTGCCGCCGGGCCCGACTTGCCACCGGCGGAAAACGCTCGCCCGCAGATCGGGTTCTGCTCGTTCGAAGTGGACGCTTCAGACATGCCTATATAGGATTAGCATCTCCAGACCCTGTTGGAAGGCACCAGCAAAAGTACAATCTAATATGTAGTGACCAGTTATCACTATAGGATTCTGTAATTACTGATGATACAGTAAAAACTCAAAAACTATAAACTTAAGAAGTTTCGTAGTTACTGATAATACACTAACTGACTATATAGTACAAACTGACTTAGTTAATGCTGGTTCGTAGCAACGGCAATCTAACACGCAATGATTCTTCACGTTCAATAATACAAAAAGTAATCTACAATCACTGTGGCTAGTAGCAATGAGGACAAAACCATTACCGGCAATCCTTAAGCATTAAAAGAATATAACCACTTTCAGCCATTATCAACCATTATTCTGGATAATTTGTTATCAGCATTCTATCGAAAGTCTTTATCTGACAAATGCCACGACCTTCTATACGACATATAGTTCGCCATGTTATTTGGCATTCTCTCTGACATTCTGTTATTCTGGCTGTTCAGGCGCTTTCAGGGTTTTCGGTGTCATTTTTCTGCTATTCTGTTTTTTTTTTCAATCTGACATTTAAACTGACATATTTGCTGGCATTTGAAGAATTAATGCCAAACTGAATGAAATGAGCGAAAGGGATGAAATGAAGTGAATTGAAATAATTAAAACATAATGAATGAATGCATGAATGAATGAATGAATTAATGAATGAACGAACGAATGAATGAAATGACATGACTTGACATGAAATGAAATACATAAAAAAAAATGAAATAAACGAATGAATCAACCGAGGAATCCGTCAATGAACCATTGAATGCGTGCGTCATCAATCAGTGAACCAGTGAACCAGTGGAGTGAATCAACGACTGAACCAATGGAAGAGTCAGAGCCAGTCAATGGACCGATGAGTGAACGTTTCCATCAATGAATGAGTGAATCGATGACTGAGTAAATCAGTGAATGATTCGTACTGTAACATTATATATGTATATGTAAATACATATATATATGTATATATATAAATATATGTATACACATTATATTATATCAATATATAGTTGGGTTAGGTACAAGCATCCTTTAGCATGACATGAACAGTAAACGAAAGGATTTAGAATCGCAATATTGGAGAAGAATGAGATGCTGCATGCATTGCCATGGCGCCTTGTGACAGGGATGTCATTGATTGTAAGGCTTGACCCTAACCTACCCTCACTTTCCAGGTTGGGTTCTTTGAGTGTTTTTAGGTGTCCTTCTATATAATTCCAAACGGAGTGTTTCTATTGAAGAGTTTGGGAATGGCATTCGTACTTTCCCAGAAGATTTTGCAACATCATTTTAAATACGATTATCAACATGATATTGGAAATGTTGTAACTCAGTTTTCCTTGTGAGCTGTATCCAGCTCAATCACTTAGAATACACAGCTCTTTTCACAAAAGACTTAATTTACGCTGATACTTCAAGGAAGACATGCTTTGGAAGAGAAAGAAAGATATGTTTTACTTCAAGGTACTGTCAATATATTCAACTAGAAATCATGTTTGCATCAGGGTTGTTCGTATGTTGAAACAAATAAAGAATATATATATACATAT